ACCGGGGGCATATGATTCTTAGGGAACTCGTTCTTTTTTTTCCCTATTTATTAATCACATGCAACCCTTGGTTTTGCAGCCATGTGTGGCCTAATTTTTCTTTTACTGTTTAAAAAACTAAATCTGAATCTGAGTCTCTCCTACGTATGAGCTTTCTACATAATTTTGTTTTATATCTTTATAAGAGATATATTTTGGTGATCTTATCACTTTCCTTCAAGTAATTGTTTGAAGTAGATTTGCACGGCTGCACTCTGAATATATATATATTTTTGGATATCACATTCTCTGTGTCTATATTTTGCATATTTATGTTTGTGTGACGGGGCTGTGATGCTATTTTATAATTATTATTAAGCTCAGTCATAGAGAAAAGAAGGCCCGTATATTGGCGTGGTAACCCGGGGGCATATGATTAATAGGGCGTTTATTCTTTTTCCTTATTAAATAGTCATATGCAACCGTTTGGTTTTTGCAGCCGTGCGTGGCCGAATCTCTCTTTTACTGTTAAAAAAAAACTATATCTGAGCCCTATTATTGCCAACTAATGCTCACAAGGGATTAGGTAGTTGTGACATCCATTACTAACACCTACTCAATTTGTGTAGGCTATAAGTGTTAAATAGACAAACGTGTACTCATTATTGGGCTTGCTAATTTGACTTTTATTATTTATTGCGAGGTTGCATAAAAATGTTTAAACCATTTGAAGTCATACTGTTGTATTCAAGAAACATGGCCTCAGAACACTCAGCCTGACTATTGCTCATGCTGCGTGCTGAAAGAGACACCCAAGGGCAAATCCGTTTGTTGTCATAGAGCATTCAACTTGGTATGAAGAATTTGACCTGGTTGTGAGTGTTATTCTTTTGCTGTTATTTCTTCTATTTCATCCTTCATTTATTATCTCACTGCGAGTGTTATTCTTTTCTTGTCAGTAATTTTGCCAACGAATGCTCCCAAGGAATAAGGTTGTTATAACTTCGATAACCTACTTCATTTCGTTCAGACTGGGGAAGTGTTATATAGATCATTACTGAGAATGGTTCAGTAACTGATGCTAATAAGAGCTGATTCTTGATTTTTTGTAGAGCTGATGGATTTGGCATTTGGTAACTGTCCCGTATCTTGGCGTGGCGAACCCGGATGGCTGTGATTTTGGGGGATTTTATATTTCCCCAATCGCATGCAACCGGTGATTCTGCAGTCATGGGCGTGGTCGAATGTCTCTTTGCCAGCTTGAACAACAGATCTAAGCCTCATTTCCTCTAATTCTCTGTATCTTCTTTGCTAGGGTTTGCCTTTTTGCTTGTGAGAAACGTCGATCACAATACTTCTAGAATACTCTCGATCGCTCCTGGTTTAGGTATCCACATCACTTTTTTTTTCTTGAATAATTAATTTACATTCTCATTATTATTTTCTTTAATGTTTCTTTATTATCTCGTGTAGATTCCTTTGGTTCAATTCATGCGGCATAGCTGAACTGGGGAAATGCAGATCATATAAGAGCTGTGGTGCTAACTTCTTCAATTAAACCATTTATTTTATGTACTATTTTTTTTTCTGACATGGTTTATCTAGGTTTATGCAGGGCATCTTCTGGAACCTCTGTTGCAGACAATAGTTGCATTATCTGGTCCAAGAACCACCATTATGGTACTTCACTTAGAATTTTGTCTGAAATTAGATATTCTTTTAGACAATCTATAATTTCATTAGTTAAAACTATGGTTTTTGCAGTTGGGATATGAACTTCGTTCGACAAGTGTGCTCTATTAAATGATGGATTTGTGGGAAAGAAACTTTGAGTCTAAAAGTGTTCCTAAATCAAAGGTTTGAAAATATAAATTATTTGTTTTACAATGTTCAAAACATTTTTATTCTAAATTTGCAATGTAGAATAAAAATATTTTTTTATGATCATTGTAGATGCACAGCGAGTGCCAACATCCAAGTATACCAAAGCCTTCTTCACACAGCAGCATTGCCAAGGAGATTGAGGCTGTCCATTCTGAGGAAACCGAACAAATTACATATGTGAGAGTGCCTAACATATATGTTATTGCGTTTGCTGATGCAGGTTCGGCTGTTCGTCAAACGGTTTTGATTGCTACTGATGTTATTGCCTGTGGCATGGACTTCAAAGGTGTCAATTGTGTGATCAATTACGGAAAAAAGATCATTATACTTCAAATTAAAGCTGATCTTATTGAGGAAAATGCCTGCTTCAACCAGCATGAAGCTTATTCAGAATTTTATTAGGCTGTTTTGTTTTATATAATGCAGTCTTGATTAGTAATACTATTTTTTTTTTGAAGTGTTCAATTTACATATTTGAGAGTGCCTAACATATATGTTATTGCGTTTGCTGGTGCAGGTCCGGCTGTTCGTCAAACGGTTTTGATTGCTACGATTTTCCAGATTCTTCATCTGCATACCTTCATAGAATTGGTTTGTCAATGATAAATTATTCCCTCAATGCTCCAATTGTCATTGATTACTGCTAAATTATCAATGATTAGTACTAAGCGTACTGTTTTGTGACCTTTGGTGAAGGTCATTCAGGCAGGGGTGTACGCTGTAGCGAATGTTATTACAGCTTCAGTGTGTAAGGTACCAGGATGGATAATGGCCCTACCCAAGAAAAAATGGAAGAAACACAGACCTCACAGGGAAATGATTTCTGCCAAACCCGAAGATGTCGAGTGGGTATATAATATTTCAGAATTTTTTATTTAGGCTTCTTTTTTGTGTATTTGAATTGGATAGATTATTGAAGAATGTCATGATGATTTCATGTTACTGTAGAAATTGTTTATGTTGGGATTTTGTCTGATAAGGATGTTTAAATACACAGATGCAGATCATTGTGCAAACCCTGACTGGTAAGACCATCAACCCTCGAGGTGGAAAGCTCAGGCACTATTGACAATGTAAAGGTCAAGATCCAGGACAAGGAAAGGGGAACCTGACCAGCAAATACTATTTTTTGCTGGGAAAGGAGCACTCTTCACTTGGTACTAAAGGAGGCTTAGGGGTGGATGCATATTTTTGTCAAGACTCAATTACCTCGGAGGTTGAGAGCTCTGACACCATTGACAATGTCAAAGCCAAAGATTCAAGACAAGGAAGCAATCGCACCGGACCAACAGAGACTAAAGTTGGAGGATGGTCGCACCTTGGCGGACTATAATATTCAAAAGGAGTCTATTCTTCAATTTTTGCAGATTCTGGTTTTTTATTTTTTAAGTTTTGGAATAAAATCTTTTTATCATGAATCCTGAAAATTCCGATTTTTAACTTTCTTGGGTTGAAATTGAAATATATATGAGATCTTGATTTTAATTTTCGAAAACAAATTTTAAAAAGGAAACTCTTTTCCCCCAAGAAACTGCATCTATAATGTTACCGTGATTTTGTGTTTTGAATCATAGAGCAAACAGAAAGAAAAAGAAAATTAAAATAAATAAATTCAGAGATTATTTTATTTTGGTGCATAATTTTTAATTTTTTTTGGTAACTTTTCAATGGAAAGCAGGAAGTTACGAGGAACCAATCTTTCATTGATGATAATAAGGAAGGAGCATGATATCGTGGAGGATCGTTTGGAAGAAGAAATGCTGTTTCTAAGTGAAGAACGTCAGGAGCTGGGAAGTGAGCAACGTAAATATGAGAGAAATGCAGAGTCGGTAACAACCAAAAAGTTTGCTGAATGCCAAGTACTTTTTGTCGGGCTAGTCATAATTTTTTTAAATTAGAAATAACTTTTCCTAGGTTCTGACTCGCAGAATTTATTTATGTTTTTAGGAGTTGCTTCAAATGTTTGGCTTACCATATATAATTGCACCAACGGAAGTGAAGCTTAATGTGCATTCATGTAGCTGTCAAACCTTGTTGATGGTGCGGTCACTGATGACTCCGATGCATTCTTATTTGGAGCACGAAATGTGTATAAAAACATCTTTGATGATCGCAAATACGTGGAGACGTACTTAATGAAGGTGATTTTTAGATAGTGTTACTAAGCAATAATGATATACATGATATGAATTGAGTTTATGATCAACTTATCATTACCTTGCTTCATAATTTGGACCACTCTCACCTGTGATATTGTTATCTGTTTTAGCTTTATTTGGTACTGGTTTTGACATTATATATGGTTCTCTAGGATATCGAGAACGAACTTGGCTTAGATCGAGAAAAAGTAATCCGTATGGCACTACTTCTTGGAAGTGACTACTCTGAAGGCACTAGGTAATGACCATCACCCATGCGACTTTTTGTAGGTTACTAACTCTATATTCATACTATCAATAATCTGTGCTAATTATCGGTGGCTCTTGTAGTCTATCTTGCCTTCACTGCGGTGAAATGTACACGGTGATCTTAATCACATTGTAAATGTTACAGTGGCATTGGCATTGTTAATGCAATTCAGGTTGT